CTGCCCATGGGTGTGAATGGTTGTGTGGAGTGTGCTAGGCTCCACCCCCCATGATCGCTTGGCACCATATTTTCTTTGCTGATTGAATTGAGTTGGTGAGGAAGGCTGCAGGTGTTTCTGTGTAGTTGCTGGCACGTCCATCCCTGCCAGGGTTGCAGCTCAGCGTCAGTCCAGGACTTACAGAGAAATATGGCACAAATAATAGTTTTATCCTTTTAATCTGCAAACACTGCAAATCAGTATCTCATCCAACAATACTTCAGTCAGTATTTGGACGTGTTTCATCATCACTGTGTGGAGGGTCAGCTAGTATAAGTGAATGAAGGCTCATGGTTATCAATAAATATAAAGGTGTCTTATCTTTCAGTAACAACTTGATTTGGTGCAGTTTGAACTGAACTTGTGCTGCAGATTTGCTGATTCAGTGACTGCAAACGGCATCCGATTGAATCAAACTATGGGATGACACCGTTTATGAATTGTTATGGAAGCGAAAAGTATTTTTTTAAACATAATTTCCTCTGGAATGATTCTGATGCTGATATCTGATAGGCCAATAATGTCACCTGACCCATGTGTCATCATGCCCAGGCAGAGGTTGGACATGTTCAGGCTGCCGTGAGGACACCTCACTGCTGTACGTGATTCCACCAGAAGTCAGGCAGAAACCTTCAGACTCAGAGGACTCACAGCCACAGCTGTGGGCTGGGTTTAACTCTTAAGCATTTTAATCAGTATGACAAATATCCAATTTACTATTGTGTAAACTGGATGTGTAACTGTAACTGTTTGTAGGGATGAAATGAGAGGAGCATGTAACTGAAAGCACTTAAAGCTCAGCGAGTTTCATGATGTCTCATAGTGATGTCACAAAAGTCCGGATGAACAGCGTTCCTGGACTGAGCGTGCATCAAACCCTTACGTTCACTGTTGCTGCTGTCACCCTGACGCTCGTCTCCACCCTCTCCACCCTGCCTGCACTGATCCACTCTCGTCTGCACTGCTGTGGATGTTTGCTGCGTTTCACAGCTTGTTGTGTCTTTGTTGTTGTACCTGTTTGCCTCTCACGCACATGCATGTTTTCTGTTTTGCTTCTACTGACATTCATCCTTCTCTCCAGTGCATACCTCCACCTCTCAGGGTCTCATCTGCTACCTACTTTATCATAATGTTGTCTGATCATCATAGTCCAAGCAAACTCTCATCTGCCTCGTCTGTGAATCTGTCCATCGAAGAAGGGGCTCAGAGCCCCCCGATGTCATTTCAATCCATCTGTCACTCCTGCACATGGTCACTCACTCCACCTAGGGCTG